ACAGCCTTCCTGTTCTGGGCAGGAAGGATTTGGGATTGGAGCTGTTGCTGCCCTCCTTGTTATGCATACAAGGATGCTCGTGGGAATCTGTCTTTTGGAGGTGTAGGCACCCACACAGCATGGGCTGCTGAGTACCTGCAGTGGCTCCTAAGGAGGTTTTTCTCTGCACCATCCCTCCAGAGTTGATGTGCTGGCAGATTTGCTGGACATGGATCAGGTGAAGAGGACAAGTCTGGTGGAGCAGAGATTGGGTGCCCTGGAAGATCAGGTGAGGCAAAAACCGAGCAACTGCTTTGGGAGCGTGGGCTTTTCCAAGGACAAGGGTCAACTGAATCACAAGAGCAAATCCTTCTGAATTAGCTCTCCTTAGAACATTAGAGTTTCCTTGAGAAAACAATAGCCTCAAAAAGGCATATGGGAAGTGGAACATTGCGGGATGAGCCCCTGTACTGTTCATCCAGCTCTTCTCCTGGGTCTGAGAGGACCCTCCAGACCCTCACCTGTCCCACACAGGTCCATCAGAGTGCCAAAGCCCTGAGGTGGATCATTCAGGCATTGCAGGGCAGTGGCTTCAGCTCAGAGGAAGATATGCCGCCCTTGGGTAAGCACAGCCCCAGCAGCACAGCCCAAAGGGATGCCAGGAGCAAAGACACAGCATTAGAGCTAGGCAGACCCTGAGGCTCAGCACTTCACCTGTGAGGCCTTGCTGTCTCTGCCTTGCAGTCTCCAGCAGGACCTCAGAGGAGAAGGAGTTCGACCCGGAGGAGAAGCCTGGAGAGAAGCAGCCCACACACCACGTGCTGGCCCGAAATCTCCTCTACCCAGGGTCCCACACCATGCGCTTCCCCGTGCCAGATGAGAAGGTGCCCTGGGAGGTAGGAACTCAGGCGGTGGGGCTGGAGGAGGATGGGAAGTGGGAAGGGGAACAGAGCCATTGTTGCAGCGAGAGGGAGATGTATCATACTTGGGAACTGCTGTTCTCTCCAGCCCTTGGAGATACTGCCAGTGCTCAGTGCACTGGAGCTGGGTCTCCAAAGCACAGAGGGTCCAGGCATGGCCAGAGATGCTTCCCTGGGAAAACACTGTGGCTGTGCTCAGTGAAACAAGACTGGGTTTCACGTGGGGATGTCTGGAGGTGTTCTGAATGGACAGGCACATCTGGGCTGCCAGTGGGGCTGACACAACCATATGCCCTGCAGGTGGATTTCCAGCTCTACGACCCTCCTGCCTATTCAGCCGACCACAGGGACACAGCTGTGCAAGACCCCTTCAGCCCGTGAGTAACTCCGGGGGGGTCCCTCCCCATCCAGCTTCCCACCTCTGCCCCATCCTCACACATGGCACAGCCTGCCCTCACTGCTGGGCTGTCTCCTGTGCCCAGCTCCTTGGAGTCTCTCCTGAAAATCAACTACAACACCATGGACGGGCTGATCGACAGGCAGAGCTTCCACGGCCTCTATGCTGTGCAGGATGGACTGCCACTGTGAGTGCTCCCACCGTGGGGAGGTGGGAGAGGGGGAGTGGGGCATTGATGAAGATGCTGAAGAGCACCAGTCCCAACCTGTGCCCATGGCAGGGGGTTGGAACTGAATCATCTTTAAGGTCCCTTCCAACCAACCCGTACTGGGATTCTATGAATTAGGGATGGTGGTCCAGGTGTTTGGACAGCCTCCAGCCTGCTCGCTCTCTCCCACCAGGAATCCCATGGGCAGGACGGGGCTGCGTGGTCGTGGGAGGCTGCACTGCTTTGGGCCCAACCATGCCCTGCACCCAGTTGTGACCCGGTGAGCATGTAGGGATGCTGGGGACAGAATGGAGAAGGGGGCATGAAGCCATTTCAGATCGAGGAGAAGGAGCTGAGCATGGTTTGCAGCATAACATGGGCCTCTCTCACAGCTGGAGGAGGAACTTGGATGGGTCCATTATCAGGAAGAGCCTGAAGAAGATGCTGGAGGTCCTCGTGGCCCAGTATCCCCTGTCAGACGTCTGGGCACTGCCCGGGGTAAGAGCCACAGCAGAGCAGCTCCAGCCATATTCTCAAACCATCGGCAGAGAGCTGCAAGAGCAGCAGCGGGTGATCGAGCACCGCTGAGGGCTTTTGGCAGCAGGAGGAGGGAGGGAGGCCCCGCTGCTGCCTGCTCCCCTCCACCTGAGTCTGGGGCAGCCATGGGACGAGCCATGCTGGTGGCAGCTGGGCTGTGAGAGCTGTTTGGGTGCAGGGCTCACTGGAGCCGGGTGAGACGCTGCCGCTAAAGCTCAAGTGGATCCTGCGTCGGGAGTTCTGGCCTCAGTTCCAAAACCTGCTGAAACAAGGCACTGAGGTACGGGCACACAGAGCTCTTGGTGCTCTCAGAGTGGCAGTTATGGCTCTGCTAATGCAGCAGCACTTCCCTGTGCGCAGATACACAAGGGGTACCTCGATGACCCCCGCAACACAGATAACGCCTGGGTTGAGACTGTTGCCATCAGTGTGCACTTTGACAATCAGAACGATGTGGAGATGAAGCGGCTGAATTCGGTAAGAGCCTCTTGCCTCTGCAGCTCCCTGCACTGGCTCCTGGCAGACGTGGGGCAGGTAAGCTCCCTGAGAAAGGCTCCTCTGAACAGACTGCCAGGCAGTCATCATCCCCAGAGGTGTTCCAGAACCTTGGAGATGAGGGACGTGGTCAGTGAGCGTGGTGGGGTGGGCTGGGGTTGGACATGGGGATCTTAGTGGCCTTTTCTAACCATAGCGATTCTATGAATTCCTTTGGCTCCAGCCCCAGATCTCACTGTCATCAGAAGTAAGCTTCTCCAGCTATGTGCAGGGGAGGGGGAACAGACTCTGCCCATGGGGTGGCACCACAGCAGGGGCCCCAAAACCTCAGGGTGGGAGGCTGGCGGTGCTGCTGAGTGCAGCTGGCCCTGCCACAGCACACACATGGTGTCTTGATTCCCTTCCAGTTCCTCCAGGGCTGCGACCCAGAGCTGTGCATCCGCTGGCAGGTGCTGGACAGGAGAATCCCACTGCATGCCAACCACAAGCAACTCCTGCAGAAAGTCTCCACCCTGCTCGGTGCTTACTACTGAGTTCTCAGGCACAGCCAAAGCTGCTGCAGCCCTGGGCCAGGATCTGGCCATGTGAGGCCATGGGCTGCCATTGGAGGCCAGGCAGCTACCACAGCCACCAGCTCACCCTTAGCCACACACTATCTGCGTGGGCACTGCGTGAGAGCATGCAGGGCATCCATCAGGCAGTTCTGCTTCCCAGCCCGCTCTCTGAGCCCCAGGAAACTCAGCACAGCTCCTGGAGGGTTGCTCAGGGTCTCTCGCAAGAAGCTGCCCTGCAAGTTGCTGTGACATCTGTCCTCATGTCTCCAGTTGCCTCAGACCCAGTGATGTATTGAGCTGTGATCCAACACTTCTGAAGATGAGAGCAGCTCTTGGCTCACACACCTGTGGCTTTATATCTCCACACAAGTCCACCCTCTCAAGTCTTTTGTGATCCTACGTGTGTATGCTGAGCACTGCATCATAGCTGATATCCTTTCCTCTGCTAAATGGCACCTGCCTGCCCTACCCCCTTGTGAACATGGACAGAAAAGGGCAGCTTGCTAGGACACACGGGGGTCTGTCCTCTGCAAACACTGGGGCAAGTGCGTCCATCTCACACATCTCTGCTCACCTTTTCTGCTGCCTGCCATAGAGACAGTGAGGCACAGTGGAGATGCTTCCCAGGGCCTCTCAGTAGTTCAGAACAGCCCCATGGAGGTGGGTTATGCCTTGGACTGCTTAGGGAGGGATTTCAGCTCCCCAGATTCTCCCCCTGGAAAGGGGACACAGTCAGGGCTGTTCTCTCCCACTGGTGGCCATTGCAGCACAGCTGTGGTTTCACCAATGAGGCACAGGGCTGGGAGAAGGGGGCCAGCTGGTAACGTAGTCAATGCTGCTCAATAAACAGTGTACTGAACAACTCAAGGCTGGCAGCACGTCACTGCTGTTTAAGCACAGCACCCCAATCTTATAGCACAAATCCAACCCACATGCACATTCACCCATCTTACGAGCTTTGGGCTTCCTGGATCCTCCCCGCTCCCCTTGCCCCTCACAGAGATACTCAGCAGCTCCTCACCAAGCTCCAGCTCTGAGTCATGCTCCTGTGCCACACTTTGACCTTAAAAAAGCCACCTCCGAATCACTGCTTGGCAAACTCCTTGGAAACGTGACTTGTACCAGCTCATGGACCAGATGGGAAAAGCTAAAGAACTCCAGGTTTTGTTATTTAAAACCCCAGCGATGACTAAGCCAGCTGGGTGCGTGGGGAATCTGACTCACTGCGTTTTTAAACACTTGGGGTTGATGAGATGGGAATTCATTGCTGCTGCTCCCCAGCAGCAAATCATCACATCCCATGTGGAAGCTGGCTCTGGGCTGGAGCAGAAGCTCTCAGGCTGTGCTCATGTCAACACTCCATCCTACAGCAGCGTTCCGGTGGACCCTGACCTCAGCCCCATGCAGGGCATCACCAGAGGAGGACGTGGTCCTGGGTGCCAATTTCTCAGTTGAGCCCTGCATGTAGGAAAAGCCCTTGGGGTTTGCACTGCACTGAGAGCTGAGCTTTTAGAGGTTGATGTGGTCTGGGACCCAGGGAACCCCTCTCAGGTACCTCCTCCTCTCCTAGCTCATCCTGGTCTGCAGAAGTTCCCTCCTCCAGGCTTGACCCCTTCTGCCCCTGCCATCCTGCAGCTCCAGGCTCTGCAGTCAGAGCTCCCCCAGTTCCTTTGCAGGCGGTCACACTGCCCCTGGAGGTTCCAGGTTTCAGAGTCCTGAGCTAGATGCCTGGAATGCTCAGGAGGCTCTGGGTTTCAGGGCATCGGCATAGCAGGAGAAGGTCCCATCCTCACACCTTCCTTGCAGCCCCCGCTGGTCCTGCAGAGCCCAGGGGTGACCATGCAGTCCGGGGAGCCATGAACCAAAGGAAGAGTCCCTGGTACAAGCAGAGCAGCTTCAGTAGCCACAGCTTGTGGGGGGTGCAGCAGTTTATTTGAGCTCTGGTTAAGCAAAAGATGCCCCCAGATAAAGGCAAGGAAAAGCATCCCCAACCCTGTGCAAAGGGGTGCACAACCAGCATCAGACCGGGCAGTAGATGCTAGTGATGTGCCAACACACATCTCCAAATCCCTTTGAACAAGTGCCAGTGTCAGGGTGGCCTGCCCTGCCACCTGCACTGTGCTGGCAGTGACACAACACCTGCCTGCCAGCTGCAGCTGCAGCACATATCCGTGGCTTTGCACGATGTACACACATTGCTCAGCCTGCACACACAGCCTGCAGCCAGACACAGAGTGTGGGGCAGCATCAGGCCCACGGGCCCTGGCACACCGTGGCCCCAAGCATTGGGCAACCAGAGCCAGCCTGAAGCCAGCATTTCCCCAACTTCTCATACATCATTTCCTCCCAGCACCATGCACCCGATCCAGCGGCACGTGTTCTTCTCAGGCTTCTTCTCCCCTGGCTTTGCACGAGCTCCAGCCACCATAGCAGAGCTCTGAGACCCTTGGCTGGAGATGGCTGACCAGGGAGCTCCCACCCTTCTGTCCTGTGGCACGCACAGCCCCACGGGTACTGCAGCTGTCCCCAGGCTCTCAACGTGCCTTGGTCCGTCCTCACCTCAGTGGCCAGCCCACTCACATCCTGGCAAGGAGCTGAGTGTGCTTCAGGCACCTCAGGTGGTTTTCAGCTTGAGCACCTTGGAAAGGGGCTCCTTGGCACTGGAGTAGAGGAGGTAGGAGCCCTCTGTGGTGTTAAATGCCTCCCAGTCTCTGCAGCCAACAGTGGGAAGGTGGTGAGCTGCCACGAAGCCTTCGTAGCCTTGCCACCTGTGTGGGAAGGACAGTCAGCTGGGGGCCTTGCACCTTCTTTTATCATCCCACAGTGGTTTGGGGGTGGGAGACACCCCTTGTGCCTGGAAGCTTGGCGGAAGTGGGGAGCAGAGGCAGCAGGATCCCCCTGTGCCCATTCTGTGCCCTCTCCGGACCATCTCCTTGCTGTACCCATGTCCCCCCACTCCCCCCAGGCACATTCCAACTCCTGGGCTGTGCCAGGTTTGGCAGTGAGCTCACCCTACCCCAGCCATGCAGCAGTACCTGTAGATAATGCTGTTAATGGAGAAGGTGAAGCCATCAAAGGAGTTTGCTACCACCAGAAAGTAGTCATCTCCAACCGAGAAGAACTCCCAGTCCAGGGCACTAGGGGATGAAGCAAGCAGAGGTGGGTGAGATGTGCTCAGCCCACACTGAGCTCTTGCACCTGGCCATCCCATCCCCATCTCGTGCTTCTCCAGCTCCACTGGGATCTGCTGCCCAGGACCTGTCTCCCATTGCCCTCCTCCACGTCCCTTTGCGCAGGCGGTGTGCAATCCCACATGAACCCTCCAGGAGACCCCTATGTATTTTGGGGTGTTCAGGGGAAGGCCATGGACTGAGCAACACCCCAGCTCCTTGCACAGGTACCTGTAGGTGAGGAGGTCCTGGAATTTGACAAACATCTGGGCAGTGATGTTCAGCTCATAGATGGAGGAGTTGATGGCATAGAAGTTAGAGGGCGCTGGGATCCTGCTGTCATAGCTATGGCTGTTAGCCACAGCCAGGAAGACTCTGTCCCCAATGTGGAAGACTTCCCAGTCAGCAGCCCCAAAAGTCTGTGGAGAAAGAAGCCACCTGAGAAGCTGTCCTGGACATGGACTAGCATATGTGATGCAAGTGCTGGGAAGCAGTGGGACCTGCTGGAGGGGCAAAGGGGAGGTGACCTGCTCTTAAACCCAAGGAAAAAAGATTTATAGAATTCAGAGAATCATTAAGGTTGGAAAAGACCTGTAAGATCACCTGTAAGATCTCAACACCAACCCACTCCACCATGCCCACTGCCCACGTCCCTTAGTGCCACATCGCCACGACTCTGGAACACCTCCAGGGGCCGTGACCCCACCACTTTCTAGGGCAGCTGTGCCAGTGCTCTTCCTGAGAAGTTTTCCCTCATATCTAAACTCCCTTGGTCAGTCCATTGCTGCCTTTCCAGAAGTCTAAGAGGATCAGCCTCTGAAATGATTCCCTGGCTTGTCCCAGCACAGAGGGGGAATGGAGAAGCAGCATTTGGCCGGTGGATGACCTTACCAGGATGGACTGGAAGAGCTGGAAAGAGCCACTGAGCCAGATGTAGATGTGAGAATAGATGTTTGTGGATGTGCCATTAAACGTGTTGGCCACGGCCAGGAAGGAATAAGGCCCAATAGCAAAAAATTCCCAGTCATAGGCTCCAGAGGTTGGGATTGTCTGGTTGGTTTCAAAGAGCCCCGTGCTGGGGTTCCACCTGTATATCACGCTGTCTATGTTGTGGTTATTCCCTGAAGGAGACAGAGATGTGCAATGAAGAGCATCTGGTTTGCAAGAGAAACGAGACCCTGCCAGGAGTCTGACTACACAATATTTCAGCTCTGGAGGGAGTGAGGGTGGTCCTTAGCCCTGCTTGATGTGTGTGTCCCCCAGAGGGCCCTTCTCTGGTGCCGGTGGAGCTGATGTCCAGCAACAGACTGGTCTAGGGCCCAGACTGGGCTTGGACTGGCTCTGAGAACAAGGGCTGGGTACCTTCTCTGTGGTTGACCACTGCAAGGAAAGCCTCTCCCTCAATGACAAACGCCTCCCAGTCCCTCGCGCTGTGCGTGGTGATCCTCTGATAGGTGACGAACTTCTCCTTCCTGTGGCTCCACTTGTATATCACAGAGAACTCCTGCCCCCTGTCATTCTGCTCAAAATTAGCCACTGCTAGGAAGATCTGAAAAAGAACAAGGCAGGACACTTCCATTTTCTCCATTTCAGATGTGGCCCTGAGCAGCCTGTAGGCAGCACAAAGCACCCCAGGGACACAGATGGAACAAGGGACACAGTAGGGTCTGCAGAGACCCACTGAGATGGGGCAGGGATGATGCTTTGCTCTCATTGGCCTCCACAGCTGCCCAAGGTTGGGCTGAGGACCAGCACTTTCGTGGCAGGTGTGGCAGCAGCAGCCCACCCAAGTGTCCCAGGCAGGGTGACAGCAATGTCTTGGAGCTCAGTGGGGACAAGGATGTGTGGCTGAGTGTGACACCGTGCTGGTGACACTGGTTGGGGGGGGGGGGAGATGGGGTTCAGGGCCTGAGCCTCAAAGGTTCCCATGGGGAAAAGTTGATCAAATTATAAAAATAAAAATCACAGCTATAACAACCAGATAACAACCATAATGATAACAATGCCCTGAAAGAAAACATTTTCCAGGCCAAAAAAAAAAACTCCACTGCTTTTGGCATTTTGGGCTGCTTCTTCCACGTAAAGCCCAAAAACACACTCAGAAAAAGAAGGGATTTGGTTTTCTTCTAAACTTCCTCTTTGGAAACAAATGCAGACCCAATCCCCCCACCCTTAGCATGCACCCTTAGCACCCAAGAGCACCCCAGGATCCCTCCAGGTGGCTCTGCTCCCCATGGGGGCTGCCAGCTCCCCCCATTTCCTTTCCTCATGCCCTCACCCAGTGCTGCTGCAGGTTTCCCAGCTCTTGGAAGCAGACAGTGCCCTGGAGGAAGCTGGGGTGAGGCAAAGCTAATGTTGGGCACCTGATATTTGGTCCAGCCCCGAAATAACCTTCCAGGCAGCCTCACCTTTTTGCCTATGGTGAAATACTTCCAGGACTGAGCTTGGTAGGTGGGGATGTTCTGATAAAGCACAAACTTCCCATCGGTCCACTTATAGATGGCTGATCCGGGGGGGCTGTGCCTGTTGGCAGTGGCTGCAAACAGTCCAACCCTCGGGATGGTGAAGACCTCAATGCCCATCGTCTCAGAGTTGGTCACCAGGTCCTGGTATTCTTCCACGTAGTCCAGCCGCTGCTTGACTGGGAGACCACAAAAAGGAGCCAGGTTCAAACTCAATAACCCCGCAGTTGGACTTAAGCGATCCCTGTGGGTCTCTTCTAACTCAGGATAATCTATGAACGACTGGAGCCCTTTTTGCAGGGCCTGGTTGCCCCGTGACTTTGTGCAGCAAGGCCACCGCAGCTGGAAGGACATGGGGTCACTGTTATTGCACACACTGGTGTCTCCGGTTTGTGATGAGCAATGAATCACAGAAAGGCTTGGGTTGAAAGGGACCTCAAAGATGATACAGATCCAACCCTGCTGCAGCACCCCCAGTGTGCGTGGCACAGCTCTCAGTGAGCCTGGCTGTCCTGCCTGGGCAAACAGACCTGGATCCTGCCCCAAGGTGCTGGCAGGGTGAATCCCTGGCCTTGGAAGAGCTCCCCCTGCCCCACAGAGCTGGGTGCTCACAGCATGAGGCTGATCATTACCTTCCAGCATGGAGATCCAGGCACTGCCATCACAGAGGTACAGCCCTCTCCGGGAGGCATTGAACCAGAACTGTGCCTTCTCCTGCTTGGTGCAGGGCGGACGGGACCCCAGGGTCACCTTCATGTTGGTACCTGGGCACAGATGGAACAAGGTAAAGGTGGGTACCCTTCAGATGGATAATGGAGGAAGAACTGGGCATGCCACTCTGATTCTGATGGGCATCAGGGAGCAGGGGGACGGCATCCCGGCACCAAGCCAGAAACCTGTCTGCTCACACCTCCAGGAATCAGCAGTGTGAGCCCATCACTGCCAGGTTACCCGGGGACATCAAATCCCATCTCACCCGCTGGACCCAGTCCCGTTCTCCCTGCAGTTGTGCCCACCACCTGCCCCGGTTCCCCCACCCTTCCTCGTCTTCCTAAGCTCAGAGCAGCCCACAGCTCCCTACTGACCATGTGGGTACTTCAGCACCTCGTTGCTCACTGCCTTCACTGGGACATCCTGGAGAACCGCAGGGATGGAGAGCGCTGTGGCTTTATGGTTCAGGGCTGTGCAGATGCGAGGGGTGGCATCGGCTCCAGGCAGCAGGACAAGCTGCCGCAGCAAGCCCTGCAGAACGGGATGGACAGCATATCCAGTGGGACTGAGGGATGGGAGCTGCAGGAATACATCACCCGAGCTTCCCACCAGAGGCCCATTCGCTTCCTTCTCCCCTGGGCTGCATTTTTCAGATGCCTGTTAGGTACCAAAACCTCTGCCCTGGGGCAATGGAACAGCTGGCAAGGCAGGAGCATTGGCAAGGACTGTGTGAGCCGCAAGTGACTTTCCCTGCCACCACACTTCCTAACCACCGCTTGGGACTGGACCTAACCCTTCTATCAGTAAGAATGTGCCATCAGCTGGCTTTGTGCCTCCAAGTGCCACCAGCCTAACAGAGGTGTCCCCACAGCCACATGCAGTGTCCCTGCCTGGGGACCTCCATCCCACAGCCATCCCGACACCCACCAGGACCCTACCGTGAAGAAGCCTTTCCTCCTCCTCCTGTTGCCCAGGTAGAAGCTGGCTCTCTTCACTGACAGAGAAGCAGGAAACGGCGTCTCGACCACCCTGCGATGGGCAGAGGGCAGTGTCACAGCAGAGCCAGAGGAGCACCCCATCTGCTGCATCCCGCAGCCCAACCTACACGTCCTTGGGGAGGCCGCAGTCCACCGACAGCGAGAAGGACTGTCCAGAGACGGCCAGCACCAGCGTGTGCCAGCGGCTGTCGGCCAGCGAGACGTTGCGGAAGGTGACACGGTTCTGCCAGCCGCCGGCGCGCTCTGGACTCCAGAAGAGGAAGTGCAGCTTGCTGGGTGAGTAGCGCAGCCCCACCAGCACGCCGGGGCTCTCCTCTGCCATCAGCGTGAAGATGTACTCGTTCCTCTGCGGGAGGACGCGGCGCTGAGGCCGACACGCTCCACGCCCAGCCTCGTGCCCGACGCAGGGCCAGGCCTGCCAGCAGCGCTCACCTTGGTGGGGACGGCGAGCACCCGCAGGGTGACGATGATGGAGAACTCCTCGGGGAAGCGGTCGCAGTGCAGGAAGAGGCGCGAGGCGGGGAAGGCCAGGGCGCGGGGCCTCGAGGCGTGGAGCTGGAGGCCGCTCAGCCCCTGTGCCTGCAGCACCCCCATGCCATGGGCCGGCCCGCTGCCAGGGAGCAGCTCTGCCAGCACGTCCAGCGGGCGCAGCTCTGTGGGAACACGGGCATGCAGGGTGACAGCGGCCCCAGATGCAGGCTGCCAGCCGGGCACGGGCTCTCCCAGCCCAGCCCTGCCTGCGCACACGCACACGTGCTTCCCTGGCAGAGCCTAAAAACCTTCATTAAGTAATTATCCCTTTTCCCAGAGGAGAAAACAACACGCGCAGCCCCAGGGCATCATCCAGATGGAAAAACTAGCACCAGGAGACAGAGCTCTGCTTGCACACATCTGGGAAGCAGCAGCCCCTGATCCGAGCCATGGCCCTATGCTCATCACAATTCCCACCAACGGGCTTTGGGCTCCTAACTGTGCTACAGCCTGGACTGCTTGGGCTCGGGGCAGCCAGGCAGGAGGGGCTGTGAGCGAGGCTGGCCAGCACGTGTAGATGTTTTCCTGCTCAGCCTACAGTAGGGAACCTGCATTAGCAGATTGGACTAAACAACCTCCAGAGGTCCATTCCAAACCCTATGATTCTCTGAACTAGAACCAGTTCTGGGGGAAGCACGTCCTGCCTTGGGCACCTTGCTTCAGAAAGGATCAAAATGAAATGCATGTTTCCCACTTCACCCAGCAAAAATCACAGGCTGAGTTCAGTCCTGGGTTTGCAGAGAGGTTTCACAGCCCCAGGATGAGCCTACAAGTGGGAAGAAGGGCAGGAGGTGGGCTGGAGGCTGTGCCCACATTCAGCAGCCAAGGACACGACCTCACTGAGGTGGTTTCCTGTTGGAATCAAAGCCGTGAGTCCCACTTTCCCTCCCACATCAGTTGTTGCTACCGATCACAGCTCCCAGTGGTTTGAAAAGCAGCTGGAAGCAGTTTCACCCCAAGACAAGCCATGAACACACCAAACCTGGGCCCAAGCACCTAAAAACCAGAAATTTTCCAAGAGATTTTGCCACCGGGAGGATGTAGGATGCATCTTTCACCCAGAGATTCACACCACCTGTGCACCCCAGCTCCGGGCAGAGGCCAGTGATGTGCCTTCATGGGCTCCGCACAGAGCGTGTTTCCCAGGGTCTGCCCTGGCAGCACAGGAGTCCTGCAAGATATCCCAGCACCACCAACCTCTGCAGCTCCCGCCCGCACCGCCAGCCCCAGCTCCTACCTGTGCAGTGCTGCCAGCTCCTGCCACCCCCGCCGCACGCCCACTGGAGGAGGACAGCCCAGAGCAGCAGCGGGGCCAACATGGGGCTGCCTTCGGGATGCTCAGCCTTCTGGGTGCTCTCACATCATCTGTCGGAGCAGGGCTAAGGGCCGGCTCTCCCTGCCCCTGCGTGGGCACTGCCCGGCTGCAGGCTGTGCCGGGCTGGCCGCGGCGCACAGACATTTAAATGGGAAGACGGCGGTGGGAGAGGAGGAGCCCCGTTCCTTCAGAGAGCTTTTATCTTGTGCCCAGCCCTCTGCAAGGCGGCTTTTGGGAGGGATTCTTTTTTTTTTTTTTTTTTTTTTTTTTTTTTCACTTCCTTTCAGTTTTGGTGATTCATTTTTCTGAGGTCACATGGGGGAAAGCAGGACATCGGCCCCTGCCCACAGAGGCCAAGGTGGGCACCATGCTTCCCCCAAACGCACCAGGCTTTCGGCAGCAATCCCAACCTGTACTGGGCAGATCCTCCAGTTTGCTACACCCTGCTCCAAGAGCCAGACCCTACGAGGGACATTTCCCTCCCTTGCAGGTGATGTCCGGTCAGTCTGCCCACACCCAGGGCACAGCTCCCAGCCTAGGGCTGGGCATCGCAGCTGGACTTGCTATGGGGAGGGCAGGGATGTGCCAAGTACCAGTTTAGAAACCCTCGAGGTTACAGCGCTCAAACAGGAGACAGCAGTGGAAAAACTCTCTGCGCACTGCGAGCGCTGCTTGGTTCCTCTTGCCACAAAGCAAGTCACTTCCATCCTCCAAACAATTGAAATTAGCTCCCCCCACCCCAAAGTTTTCCTGCAAGGCAAACTGCAGAATGGAAAGCTGACGGCCAGCACAAAACGACAAAACATCGAGAAGCAAACCAGGACTTTTTTGGAGACAAGCCACCAAAGGTGCACACGCCAACACAGCCCTCGGCCCGAACCGTACAGTGACCACTGTGCCCCACAGCCCTGCAGTCACCCCACGTGGCAGTGCTGCACACATGTGTCACGTTAGCATGGCCCAGGGAGCTGGCACCATGTGGGGACATGCGTCAGCGGCCAGATCTGTGCGTGCTGCCCGAACACCAGCAGGGAAGGCTTTCCACCAGGACACAGCTAACACTGGGGACTTCACTGGCTAAAACACCACTGGCAGCCAAGGAGGACATCAGCAGACTCAAGGTCACAGCTGCTTCTGTGTCCTGCAAAAGCAGAGGGAAGTCAAGAGGTGGGCGAACAAACCTCATGTGCTTTTGGCGGACAGGGCTGGCTGTACAGCTTGAGGTTGAAGCTGGTGAGGAGAGGGACAGCAACAGCCCCAAAGGGTTTTCACTGTTCTTCAGCTTGGGAACCTGTAGATGATGTGCCCTGGGAAACCAACCTGCATTGTTAAACAAGGGCTTGGGAGCACCTATGCCCGTGGCTGCGCTCAGCCCAAGACCCGCTCCTTGTCCCAGCAGCACTAGGAATAGGGCTGCAAAGCTGTTCCTAAGCACACATGCACATTCCTGTGCTCACAAGCAACTGAGAGAGGACAGACTGAGACAAACAGAGGAGATGTTTGCCTAGTTCCTATGGGTTGTAAATAAAACCATGTGGCAGCGCTGAACAAAACGATCCTTGGACTTCTCCCAAAAAAGTTGGGCCATCCCTGGATGAAGAAAGGTTGAGAAGCATGTCTGTGGACAGCACATTTCAAGCAGAGCCCACATGCAGAGAACAGAGCGAGAAGGGCACCCGCATCACTGCAGGGGTCCTGCTCACAGCCTAACCGCTCCCTGGGTGCTCCAGAGGGACTCACACCACGTCCTTCACATGGATGATAGAGAAGCCCAGTGAGGATGGAATGCATGGGTTTGCTCCTGGCTGATGCTCCCAGCAAACACGAGAGACAAATCATCACGTGGGAGCAGGCAGAAAACGCAGTGCTGGCATCCCCCTTCCTCAGCTCTGCTCTTTCTTCCGAGTCAAGATCCTTTCCCACGTTTCCTGGAGCAGCTGCGGCTCCCCAAGGCCAGCCCACAGAAATCCCCACGCCAGTAAACCTGTCAGCAGCACCCGGCGACTGTGGCTGCCATTAACCCCATCCCCACCTAAAAAACTTCATTCCCAGAAATTTTGGATGGGTTCTGCCAGGAAAGTTTTGGCGAAGGGCCACGTGGATTGCAAAAGGCACCATTTTTTTAAGAATGCCACTGCAAAATCACAAAGCGCTCCGACTGCAAGCCTTGCCACCAGCTTCCAGAGGCAATTCTGGTCCCTCCATCCCACCCTGCTGCAGCATCAGCACTCCATGGGCTCCCAGACAGAGCTAGCAGCCTCCTGCCCTACATGGGAAGCTCTCGGTGTTGGCCTCGCAGCAGACAGCCACTGGGTGACAAATGGACGGAGATACCAAAGCAGGGAAGCCCCAGGACTTGTGCCCACATGCCTGGGATGTTCTGTGGCTCTGGGATGTTCCCTGATCCTACACTCACTAGCCCTACAGCAGCCGGAGATTCTCTAACCCAGGCACCAAACCTGGTCAGAGCCACTCTGCTCTGCTGCTGCAAGGAGACACCCTGCCCTGTGCCAAAAAGCAACTCACGGTGCAATTGCACTGCTTTCCCCACGGACAGCTCGTATTATTGTTAGTGATCATTCAGGCTTTGTCAGCTCAAGCTGCCCATGCTTACAGGCCGGTGCCGAGGCACTGCCCGACATGCAAACACACTTCTTGGAAGAAGGCTGAGGGCAGCACGGTGCAGGGGCAGCGCACTCTGCCCACCCGCACAGCTCCTTCTTCTGCAGCATCCGGGGAGGGAAGGGAACAAAGAAGGAGAACAATTGCTATTGTTTCTGCAGACATTCTCAGGGCTGGTTCCGCTGCTGCCCAGAGACGCAGGCCACACAGAGGCCCTGCTGTGCTTAGAGCTGCACTGATGGCAGCTCCCATCCCTATCCCAACCTGCTCACAGAGCTTAGCATGGAGCGCCAGGAACACAAGGGCTGGGCAAGCTGGCCACCAGGCAGCATTGGTCCTGAGCTGGCCCGATAGAGAAACCCTACTGGGCCATCCCCCCAGCAGCCAACCATGCCCCATGCTATGCAGATTCTGCAGGGCCTCCTGGGGCTTGGCTGTACCACCAGGTCCAGGAGCCTCCTGCAAGAAACACCCAGTCCTGGAGAGCCATAGCGCGGGGCAAGCCTTGCCCCCGCATGAGATTTCACCCACCTGAAGTTGTTGTCACGCCAGCCCAAATTTGGGTTGCAATTTGCCAAATTGTTTTGGCATGGGAAAAAAAAAAACCTGCTTTGGGGCAAGACAGCTAACCTGGCTGTGGGCGGAGAGACTGCCAGCAGCCGGCCCAGCATCCAAGAGCGTGGGTGCCCCACACCCCCCGGCATGCTGCATCTTGCAGCCTGCTGCTTTGAACCCACCTCCTGCAGCCCCCAGCCTCTCAGCCCACAGGTGCCCGGTTCTGTGCAGTGAGGGGAGGCTGGAGCTCACGCACGGCAGCTGCCCTGTAATAACCCACCGTCCGTATCATTACCATTAATTATATATTAACATACCCCATAATCTGCGTTGCTGCTGCAGTTCCATCCCAGGGTGTGAGCTGCTTTCAAAAGCCACAGTATGGGACTGAGTCAGCACAAATTGTGTCACCTGATTCAGGTAGTGGCAATGGACCCAGTGCTGAGCACCTTCATCCTGCTGTCAGCCATGGCCTTACTCAGAACAACATGATGCAGTGCCCTACAAGTGGATGGTGCATGGTCAGGAGCCCCAGGAAGAAATACTGCAGGAATTGCTCCTGCAAGTCTGCCCTCCTATTAAACTGCTTTATGTGAGTAAGAAGTGCTCAGTATTTACAGGTCTTGTCGCATAGTTTGCATCTTAAGAACAGTTAAACAACAAAGTATGCTGAATCTAACACTGTTGTGCACCCCTGATCTCCAGCCAAGGCCACGCTGCAGGTGGCTGTGCCTCTCTGTTCTCACAGAGGCAGAAGACACACAGCATCCTTCCCAAGACACAAGTCAGAGGAAAGCAAGAACCTTCCAGAGATGCAGAGCTCCATCCTGAAGGCAGCACACCGCCTTCCTTCCATTCACATCCAGCCAAAAAAAAAAAAAAGAAAAAAAAGCAGGAGAGCACCCTCTTGATTGCTCTGCCCTGGAGCTGCAGCCCTTTCATGTGGTTCCAATGCCTCTCCCGCAGCAGTTTGCACTTTCAAAGAACAGCGTGCAGGCACACACACACAACACAATTACTGAATGGCTTGCATCCCACTGTGTGTGTTCTGACACTGCTCCTTTTGCCAAGAAGAAAAAAAGCACACGCATGTATATGTAGGCATACACAAAGGCTCTCGAAAAGACACTGCTTGCATCTTTACAGCTCTGTCGAGTCTTTATATACAGATAGATAGATATAAGCCTAAGGCAAACATAACCCACAGAAAGAGTTTTTGTGTCTTTTTTTTTTGTTTTAATCTTTAATACTTAGCTTGCATGCGTAACACCTGTAGCATTCTGACACTCCCCAAGGAATGTATTTTATAGTAACTGTTGCAGGCAGAAAAAAGGCAACGGCTCAGAAAATTATTGCTACTGGCTAGCATTACACACCTTGCTAGCGTGAGTACTCTTTCAAGGAGAGGATTAAGCTTTCAGGGGAGGCTATTGCAGCATCCAAGTGGCAGCTTTACAAGCAGGAAGGTCGGGGTGTTCCCCAGACAATTGTCTGTGCATGGAAACTCTCAGTGCAGGCTGTGCTGAACTCTGCTTGAGAGCTCTGTTTTGGGGGCACTATCCAATTCCTCCTGAGAATCTCCAACTAACTGTCCTTCCCCAATCTGACATCTGGTATCGGCACTCAGGATGATACACAGCAGCTCATGATTCACCTGTTGCCATAACAAGATGTTCCTAAGCCCAGAGACTGAGATCATCACAAAACCTTTGTTAGAGGCAAACTGAGTCACATCTGTTGGCTGCCAGATTTTTAGTTTTCTTTGAAAGATCAAGTGATTGCCATCACTAGAGACAAGATACTTGCCTGGAAAGCCCCAGCAACTGCATCAAGTCTTTCACATCTCTAAAGCATCCCCAGTGTTTTACTCGCATTACCACAAACTCTTCCACTCCATTGGCCCACAATGAAACTGGACTCTTGACCAGCTGTTTACCCATGAACTTACTCAAATACATTTGCATGTAGTTATCAAAGGAAAAAACATAATCACTTTATTTTCAGAATACAGACTAAATCCCACTGTAAAATAATGAGCAAACACACACGATTAAAACACTCTGCACTTAAAAAGAGCCTCACTTTGCCATGTCTGCTGAACACAGCATTTGCTCTGCAGTGCACACAGCTCTCCAACAGCAGCTGAGGTACTTGCAGGAGCTACACTTCATATATTATAACCCCCAAAACCACTCTCATTTTGCATATAAATGCTACATTTTCCTGTATGCCTTGAAATACTAGTTAGGTACAATACTATCTTGTCATCTCTGCTCCCATGTTACGCTGGGTCCACCTTGCACCCTTCCACCGAAGCGACAAGAATTACTTCTACAGGGCTAAGCTCAGCAATACAAACTTTAAAGATGAGAAAAGTGGCAGCCAGCAATCTGCAGCCTGTGAATAAGCAGCATGTGCAGCACGATGTAAATACTGACAAGTTCAACACACACACACATGCACACAATCTCCTCCATTAAGCTTTCTGCACAGCGCAGCTCCTTCCATTCCCAAGCTTCTCCTAGAAGAACAGTCCTTCTCAAACGTAGCTCATTTAAAACAGCCAGCAAAATTTGATTTCACATGCCATCAATGGGCGTTGCTGCTTGTAATAAATTGGAGAGGATTTGGCTTTAAACAAGAGACTCACTTGCAAAGGTCACCAGTGGCTCCCAAGCAGCTTCACAAAGCATTGCAGGTCATCTCCTGCCACCAGAAGTGGCCTACAGTGTTCTGCCCTTTTAAACAAGCATCTTACCATCCTCCAGAGAACAGAACTGAGGTTGCCTGTGACTCCTACTTAAGAGCATTCAGCATAAAGAAGCATTGCAGTCCATTTTACAAAACTCATTGGTGGCAAAGGCTCCTTCACCTGAAAACTGGGTGACCTGGGCTGTGGTGGCAAAGGCCAGCGATGCCTCATTTTCTGAGCGTCCAAATGGCTACAGGAGAGAAGAGCTGACCTAACTGCAGAGATATCTTACATCCCCCATGGAGCAGGAACAACCTCATTGCATTTTCAGGCTGCAGATGACATACCTGGGGCTCACAGTGAACCCTGTATGTATTTAAAAACTCAGTCTTTACATCTTGCACCTCCAATTGAATGTCATGTTTATACTGAATGTCTTCAAGGACCAATAAAGCAATTCTTGGGCTTTCTTCCAAGCAAACCCAAACTCTAAGGCTCAGTACAAATTCACAGTGTAACGCAGGAGTACCAGCCAGTTGCTGGCAATGACCACGTGGATCTTCAAGTTAGATGGTGCTGAATCACTTCCTATGTTAAACCATTCTGTCTACAACCCTCTTTTATAGCTTCTCTGGTTAACCACTCTTCAAATCAGTTCTGACTGCAAACGCTGTCCTTAACTTAGCTGGTATAATAAAACTAATAATTATTTTCTGCCTACTGGTGTTCCCAATGCAATGCTGCCTATACAAATGCAAAGCTAACTCCTCCAGCAGGTCATCTAACTAAGGCTGTTCTCCAATAGCAGATTGACAGAAGCGGGCTGCAGATTGCAAAGTTTCCAAGCTTTCCATACCATGAAGTGAGGTAGCAACAAAGAGCCTTTCAAACAGCACTGTTCCCATTATTTTCCCCAGCAAAAAATCCCTTTCCCATACAATTTAGTGAGTAAACTAGAGGCTTCTGTGCAGCAGCGGAAGCAGAAAAGAGATGGCAAATAAATAATGAAGGATAAGAACTAGACCAATAGTTTTGCAAAGTTTTCCTTTTTGGTACCAGCACTGAGCACTGCTCTTTTTCAGGTGGAGAGAAATACAAAACATTTCAGTCTTTTTGTGAGCTTAAAGTCCAAGTGACTTCTGCACAATCTGCTTGGCAATTTTATTAAATTGTTCTCTGTCTTCCCGCCACATCTTGGAAGCATCTACATTGGCTCCACTTTCATCGTTTGGCTCTGAAACGAGAGAGATGGAAAGGTCTGTGGGCAGGCAGGGGACTGAGCAACATCAACTCATTTCTTCTGCAACGTCTCTGCACCGCCTCTTCCCTGTGGCTCTGGTATACTTCCCCTGCTCAGCACCATTAAAGGAATTACAGTTGCAGCTGCTGGACTCCCTAACAGTTCTCATTTAACTGATCACAAGAGAGCATGGCAGCAAGGTAGGCTTCAGGCAAGAAACAAGTGGTGGAGAAAGACTGTTTCACTTTGCTGGGGAGCTGAGCCCCAACATGCTGACAGAGTACCACTGTGTGTCACCAGCAGTGCTGTCAGAGGTCTGTAAAACTGCACAGGGCTCCTTGCTACACATTTGTTCTGGTTCTGTGGCTTCACAAACACAAAGCCCCACAAAGCAGGCCACCCAAACAGGCTCTGCCCCTCTTCTGGATGGTTTGTTCTATTAAAAAAAAACAACAACAAACAACACAAAACTCAACGTAAAATGCTTTCATTTCTGCAATATCTTTCATCTGAGGATTTCAAAGTGCTTTACAAAGTAGACTAAGACCCTGCAACTCAAACACTTCTTTTTGTAGAGAGGTAAGCTGAGGCATGGAACTTTTCAGGTTCACGGTCAGCATGCAGCAGGACAACTGTCATGGGATTATACAAGCCACTCCAAACATACTCCACTCATTTTGTTTCCCATTCTGGTCCAAATACACAACTCTACACTACCCTTAAAACCCAACAGTCAGGATAGATGCACAAGACACTCCATTTGGTAAATTCAGGTTTGCTCAGTTAGCAGATCCACAGCTGAGAGCTTGCCAGCAGCCTGGAGGAAGATGACAATTGATGTTTTACGCTAAGTCCTCCAAAAGCCATGGGGAAAACAGGATCAGAGAACAAGAGAGACCATATGATTCCCCTGTAGAGCAGTCTAGGTAAGGTTGTACAACAAGCCATGTTCCTGGAGGGCACAGGGAGCCCAATGAGGCACTAGTCTTTGGACAGATTCCATCAGCAGGTTGCTATTTTGAAGTTGACACAGTCACAGATAAAAATCTTTTGCATGTTCTTTGATCAGCTTTGCTGCTTCTAAAACCTAAACCTTCATCATTCCAAACTGATTCTTGGGGACAAGCTTCTGCCTTCTCAGGCAGCTCAAAGCACTGTCCACAACGTGCAAAATATCCATCAGGAAGATGAGCATGAGAGATCTGATCCATAGTTCTTGCAGGATTTAAAGTAAGAAGTTGCACTGACTGTTTTCACCACACTCTGCTTCTCAAGAAGGCTTCCTTTATTTCAGAGATGGCAGAATGGGGTGCATTTCCCAGGTTGCCAAACAAACAGAAATCAGGGAAAGTGGCTGGGAATAGAGGCCACGGACTCCTATCTAGCATACTGATTTATCTGCCTCTTAATCCTTCAGTTGCTAAAGCCAAATCCATTACTGCTTTGTGCAAGAGCAGCTGAACTTCAGGACCCATTACCTGACCATCACCCTGTGCCTGGCTGCTGCTGACCAGAAGGAACACGGTGCAGTTGTCAGAAAGCTGGAAACCCATTTACTAATTCAGTATTTTTTTTTCCCCAATTATTTTAAGAAAATTGGTTTATTGATAAATAAATATTAGGGCTTTAAATACTCTGATTGCTGCCAAGTAGCTTAAGTGCAAAAATGCAAGAAGCTTTAGCTATGTATCAAGCAGAAGCTAGCTGAGCTCCTGCTAATAAAACCCCAGCCCTTACCTGCCAGCATGCTAACGACAGACAAGAGGATCTTTTCCACACTCTGCACAGGACTCCACCGCTCAGCACTGCTCTCATATCCCATGGGATCATCCCCAGGAGCGTGAAGAATAGAGATGCAAACTCTCCCATCTGGGTAAACTGTGCAAGAAGTACAGGGGATTAACTGTTACTCTAAGGAAACACTTGGCTCTTCTAGATATTTCAGGCTTTGCCTACATATGACTGATACAGACTCAGTTTAAAATTTCCTGTTGCAGAAAACCTAAAGACAAAAATCTAATAAAACTTCTCAAAAACAAATTTACAAATCATCTTCCCCAAGGAAAGCTTGCTGGAAGCACTCAGATCACTTAGCAACCAACAAGAGGTTCCTTGGAAAAGTAAGAGCTGCAGCCTGGTGGAACAAGCCCAGCATTAGTGCACAGCCAAGTAGGTCTAGTCCTACTTAAATCTAGTCCTGCTTAAATTACAGGGTAACAGTCCTACATCACTGAATGCATGCTGGAGTCCTCCATTGGACCATGACAGTAAAAAAGAATAAAGCAAACTTCTCTGCTGCTTGTGACCTTGAATTTTCATTACCATGACCCAGCGTCATGGAAATGCCCACGTGTAGCTGAGTCAAGCTGCTTGGGCCTCCAGCAGCCCACCCCCTCCTGGCTATGCTGCTTTCTGTGGCACAAAGCAGCTCCTAGCACAGATCTGCAAGCCAAGCCCAGAGCTAGAATCACAGCATACTGCATGGATGCAGATCTGCCCCAGCAAGAAGTCTGGGTGAATTAGCCCAGCTGGAGCAACAAAGTGATTTGGCCGTGCAGTTTCCATATGCCGACAGCTGCTGCAGATGTCAGAGCTGCAAAGGTGACACTGAACTGCCTCAGGCACTTGTGCACAGTTCTGTGCTGTCATGTGCAAACATGTGCCCCCCACATGAGAACAAAAATATGGGCTTGTCTGTGGATTAAATGGGCAAGAATCTGTGTCAGTAGTGCTTTGGGAAAAGTTAAAGGGACTTCAAGTAAATGCAAAATTCCTTGGAATAAGATAATAAATAAATAGCTTCCCAGCGGAGACTAAGAGTCGCATTGTACAAGTGTCGGAATGCCAGCTGAGAAGGAAACCCTAGGCAGCAGGGCAGTGTTTGCTGCTTATTGTTCTCAAGTGGCAGAGGCCTAATAGCCTCAAACATGGGACCAGCTCATCAAATCTGGGTGATGACAACAATCTCATCACAATCCATGCTGATTTGGTAGATGCATTCACAATTGTACAGCAAATGCCAGCACTGACTCCGGAAAGTCGTGCTCTGGGTTGGAAGGAGCTTTAAGGTTTTTATCAGTCCAAAGAAAAAAGTTGTACTCATTGTTACTTCAATTCCTTCCCCTTAAGTCCCAAGAGACATAAAGCTGAGACGTTGTCCGCTCTGGATTTGCAGCAAAAAGGCCAGCAAAGTGTTGAGTATTGAGGCCTACAGATGTACCAGCTGCATGGACAGAGCACCCTGGACTTCAGAAAGATCATGCCTTTGTCAAATGGGGAAAAAAAGTCATGCTGCCAACTAAAGCTGCATCCAGACTTTGGTCAATATGAATAAATTTTCACCTAAAACAAAACTACTTAAAATACAAACCACAGAGCAACACTGGAAAGAGTCTGTATTGTTTTACTAAATCTTACATTGTGTACAAAACACTTCTGTTTGTTTATGAAGTAGTTACAAGTATTCCTGGAATGATCTTCAAGGCAGTGGAACTGTTGGAGTCTATTGGGCTGTTTAACATCATAAGGTGTGTAAGGACTAATGTGACAAAGAGAGAGCGATCCTAGCAAAGAGCAGCACTGCTGTGTAGCTGCTCACGCCTACAGACAGGGAGAGCACCATTCATCCCTGAGCCAGGATGCCTGCTCTCTCTCAGCAGAAGCTGTTTGTTTATGGTGTAAAAGCCCCCTGCTCCCCATGCAGCACTCACTGTTTGGATGGAACATCTCACACGTGAACCTCATCTTCGGAGGACTTAGAGGATAGTCAAGTGGGAAGCTCAGAACAGCAGGGAAAACCCCGTACTCGAAACAGGTATCTTCAGGACCCCTAGAAAGAGACAAAAAGAGATTCACCTGAGTTACGTGTATTTCTTTCACCAGCTTCTTGTCTAATGAGACGTCTTAGGTTTGCGTTATATCATCTACTCCAGAATACTAAGAGTTAAAACGCTCTCATCCCACATCTCATAAACTTAAATCCAAATTTGGGGTTTGGGAGGGAATGGGGGGAAAAAAAAAAATAATGAAAAAAAAAAAAATCAAAGCTTGCACACTAAATTACTAGGAAGGTCACAACATGGCTTAATTAGCAGGGTGTGTCTGGCTATAATTGGAGTATCTGGCTCCAAGGCATGTTCCAGGATTTGAGTGTCTGCACGTCAAGAGAAGGCAGAGGCAGGTGTGGGACTCCCGTGCCTTTGAAGATGCTGTTAGGCTGCAGAGACAGAGATGTCAAATGCTGTAGCTCAAAAAGAGCTTATAAAGCCTAGGAGGATTCCAACAGCCAGTATCGAGTGCAACCACACCGTGTTTTGTAAAAATAAAAACGCAGCCCAGGGACCAAAACTGCCAGATGCAGGACAGCCCCATGCTTTGCAGACTTCAGGCATTTAGCTTTCCCTCCCTCAAATGTATACAGAGAAGAAATAACTTCATCAAGGCTCCTGCAGAAACATTTCCTTCTTGTGTTCAGCATCCAGTTCAAAGCACAATCAGGTGAGCATGCAGCTATTTTATCCTCTCTACACAAAACGTTTTTGGAAGGTAAGCAAAAAAGTTTACTTGACATGATTTATTCCAACTAGATGAACCCCCTGGAAGTTATAAAACAAACTCCATCTCCCCTGATTGGTAAGATCAGGGAAAAGGCTTCGTCACTTAATGTCTCAGCCAAGGAAACCTCCTGTCTTCACTAGACAGCTTTTGAAATGAGGATTCTATTGCCTGGGAAGAAAGATTTAGGAATATATTGGTGCCTGCACCTCCCAATCCACCAACATGTTCTCCATGCCAGAAGGAACAAAAAATCTCAAAGCCAAATGGTCAAAAGCTTCATCCAGTTCAGATTACATTGGTGATCTACAGAAAAAGAAAATGGAGGCAGGCAAAACCTAAAGCCCCACAGAGGATCACTGCTAAACTCTGCAATTCAGAAGGCTTGGCTGACAGATAAACACAAGACCTCAAGTGCTTTAAACCTGAACATTGACTCGAGGTGAGATTAGAGAAATGCAGCTATGCAGGATGAGCTGAAGCATCTCAACCACGTATGCTTCCTTTTCTGTCTTCTCCTTAAATTTAGTCAGGATTCAATATTCACATCTGAGGGCAAACTGAATGCATTTTTTCACAAGTATTTTAATTCCAGCTGCATTTTCAAGGCTTATTGTTGAACTTCTAAGAGTATGTACATACAAGCATTGAAAAGCTGGTGGGTGTCTTCTGTTCTGAGAGCAAACACACAGCCTTAAGGGCTCTTCTGTCAAATACATTAACCCAACATGCTCCATTTTAGGCCCTGCATTAAGAGAGCACACTGCTTTTGTTTCAGCCATTCACTGCTGCCAGGGTCAACTTCAAAGAAATTATTTAAGTTAATCCAAGACAGCGTTTGCAACTACAAAACACACTGAAGACCACAATGGTTAAACTTGCTGCTTCCAGTTCTAAAAGGATTATCAGCAGGGCCAGCAAGGCAAAACACACAGTCCTTCTGCAGCCACACTGCCTGCTCCGTAGGAATTTCACAGCACGTCACATTTTCAGGACCTCTGTGCCTTCTGCAGGGATTTTTCCTGAGCTTCTCCCTCTGATAAGGATTTCCCCAAGAAAAGCTCAGAGCACAGCAGTGGCATCCTCCCCGTTGAGCCAACAGGCCAGCAAACATCCCTTTTCCCATGGGATGCCCTTCTGCAAATTTTCTGCTAGGGTCAGAGGGAACTTGTCACCTGCAGGTGATACATCTGACTCAGCACTGCGATCTAACCAGCCTTCCTTATCCTCTGCCTGCATTTGTTTCTTTCCTTGCCTGTCTTGCTCCCAGCAGCTATGGCAAAGACATCGATACAAATTCCAGAAGTTAACAAAAAGTTGCACTATTCCTGCAGTGCCTGTGCTAAATGTAACTATGCTGACTCCAGAAAAAAAATCAGAAAAAGTCATGCCAGGAACAATTCCTGCCATACAAGACATAATATGAGATTCTGAACTCCGTGAGCTTGATGTTATTTAGGCAAGGGAAAAAAAAACCCAAGGGCAGTGCCTGCCAAAATAGGAGGGAAAATTGAAGTGATAACAGCGATTAATGCCATAACCATGGCTTCAAGTACATTTGTAAGTGGTTCCTCAAAAAGAGGGCGAAAAAAGACCAAACCCCACAGTCATCAGATGCTGAAAAGGGGAATTCCATGCTAGAGGACAAAACTTGGTCTCGAAATGTTAAATTCATGAGCTTGCATAACATAACACAGTCTGTCAGACCTCACGCAGTGTCAAGCTGATAAACTCCATTGACGTGCTGGGGCTATTTATCACCAGGAAGGAGGTTCCCGGCTGCAAAGGTTTGGTTTCTGTAAATACTCCCATCAGCTACTGTTTGATGCCTTATCAGAAGGGCACACTGAACACCAGGCTGTAAGCTTTCACTGTTCAGAAAAATTACCATGTTGTATTCCAACCTACAGCTCTAATCCATAAGCCTAAGAACTGTCCTATCATTCAGCCACGTCAGTGCGGAATGTTTATGCTCAGCATTTATCCAGCACTGCTGCTGCAGGCAAGACCATCAGGAATACAAACAGTATTGTTACTTATTATATTAAAAGAAAGCCTTTTAAAACAATCTCTGGGCCAAGCTTCCAAGCAGTCTCTGTAACATCACCCAGCCCCCCTATAGACTGATAGATGGGCAATGTCTTTTCCTCTTAACTCTCTTTTTCTTCAGTTTTGTTTGTGATGATGTACTCTAGCTTTCTCAAAAGCGTGTGGAGAGAAGAATATTTTGCTCTCTTTTCATCACTACAGCACTTATCTACATTTTGCATTTCATCCTTCTCAAATGTAAGTCAGCCTTACTTTAATCACCTCATCTGCACTTCTTTCAATCCCACAGTCTCACACAGCACATTTGAGATTACAAAACACTCAAGAACATTATCACAAACATAAACAAGTTGTGTAGCTGTACTCAAACATGTTTACCAATAGAGTATTGTAAAGAGATTAAAGTAACCCAACCTGCTTAGAGTAAACTTGTTTCTATTGTACCACAGCTTCAGAATTTAGCAGATCTTAGAATATGATTTTATTATGACACACACACAATTCAGAAACTAAAAGCACCTCCGCCTCTCATTTAGCGCTGACAAAGACCTGAAGCTCAACACTCAGCACTTTAAAGGGCTTGCAAGTTTGCAAGTAGATCCTCTGCTGTTTAAGCATTTGTTAGGAAAAACAACAGAAAAAAAAGATATTTTCTAGGTAATAAATCAAATAAAGAAGTATCCTGTGTGCCCCCCATGAAAGCTGTCATCAACCACAAAATCTCTGTTACTAGAAAGTAGCGATGGACAGGAATTTCCTTCCACATTCCAAGAGCAATAAATCCTCTGGGGTTTCTAAACACCAAGAGAGCTTTCTGAGCTGGCAGTAGGTACATCACAAAACACATGTTATAGAGAAGTGGTAACTGTCCCACTTACAGAAAGAAGAGTAAGATTCCATGGTTGCCTAAGGTGACAGGTTTTGACTGTAGTCATCTACCTCATTCCATGACTGGTGTTTATCTTCAGGAGACTGAGCTCCCAGGAGGTGCAACCTGTTCATCACAGGATGCCCTGCTGCAAGCAGCTCTGTGTCAACCCACGAACGAGCAGTGGTAATCCAAATCTCTACCAAGGATTAAAATAACTTAGAGCCTCATGCTTGCAAGAAGGCAGGATCACCCCCGCAGCTCGTACAGAATAGGTGATACACTACAGCTTGATAGGAATGGCATTGTTTGTGTGCCAGCTGCTTTTCCACCCTTGGACAACAGTGTCCAAGGGGTCACGCACCATGAGGAGCCATGCTGAAAGCCTGCCCTGTGCCCAGCCCCAAACAGGGTCAGCAAACACTGCTCCTACCAAAGAGCACAAGAAATGCAGTGTGGATTAGCCCTACCGACAGGTTATCAGCTGCAGGACTGGAACTTTCTCATCTCACTGTTAGGTGTCACGTGTATAAACTGTCAGACCTGTTCCTTCCCCTTCAACAACTCTGTAGAACTTTTATCTTGTAAGAATCACCAGGCACCCAAAACTCCCCAAAGAAGGATGCAGACAGCATGAGTAAAGCAGCAGAAGCGAGAGAGGACTTGTAGGCTGCTGGGTATGACCCTGTCTTTTCAAGGTAACTTCAGCTGTGAACAGCTGTACCCAACAGCTCAGGAGCAGAAGGATGCAGCCTTGGAAGAAGTCTGTCAGCCCCCAGAATACAGCAGAGTGATCAGAGCTGTTCACCAGCAGAAGAGTTCTACAAGGAACCACCACACCCAACATCTCCTCAAGAGCAGCTGTTCCATGAAATATAAAGAATTTGAAAAGATTTTTAAAGCGTTGTTTTGCTGTTGTGTTTTTTGTTTGTTGGTTGGTTTTTTAATTTCAGTGCTAGCTCAAATCAATCCTCTTTCAATTTCCCTACAAAAAAATTTGAATAGTAAGTCAACTAATCTTAGACAATGATTTTTTTTTCTCCTATCTCTGATGGTCTATCTGGCCATTTTGCTCCCCTTAAAACTTGAGGAAACCTGTCCTGTATTTGCAGTTGAGCAATGTTTGTGTGGTCTACAAGCAATTTATGGTTTCCTGCAGTGCTTGTATACACAATATATCCAGTGGAGCCTGAATGATGACTCTTGTAAAATCTGCAAGTTACATGCCAAGTGTTTCTTATTATGGCACCTGCATGACAAATCATCACTTCAGCTGCCCCGTCACACTGTTTAAATTCCAAATATAATTTCCAGTTTGAATCAGAAAAGAAGTTTCCAGCCAGAGATAGGCCAAAGTCAATGTAATGCAAAACTAGGAAGATGTTTTTTTAAATATTCTTGTTCTCCCAGAAGGTACTCATAGAGCACAAGAGCTGTTTTCAGAGAAAGAGGCAATATTGACTCACATAATCAGAGCTTCCCACTCAAAGAAGTTTTCCTCGTTCATAGGACCTAAGAGGAAAAAAAAACATGAAACGATGCTCAGAGCTGTCAGAAAGTAAGGCTCCAACTTCACAGTGCACAAGCTGGTTAGCATCTCACCTGCTACTATCCCTTCTGGTGGGTTCAGGGTCAGTTCTATAAAAGAAAAAGGACAAGGAATGTTAACACAGCCTGAGGAAAGCACAGGAGGAATCTTCTGGCTTTGCTTTTCTGGGCAAGTTTTGCCATCCAGGAGGTCAATGCAAGACAATTTTCTAAGCAAAATGACTGCAGAATCATGGAATGGTTTGGGTTGGAAGGGACCTTAAACACCATCAAGTTCCACCTCCCTGCTGTGAGGGGCTGAACACAGTGCTTCAGGTGGGGTTCACGAGGGCAGAGAGGAGGACACTGCCCCCCGACCTGCTGGCCATGCTGCTTTTAATGCAGCCCAGCATGCAGTTGGCCTTCAGGGCTGCAAGCACACACTGTCCCAAAACAGACCCAAGGGACAGCACATGGACATGGGGCTTCTGACCACAGCAGTGAGTGCAACCATCCAGCTAACTCATCATCCACTGGGCAGTCCATCCATCACATCCATATCTCTCTGTTTCAGAGACAAGGACATTGCCTGAGGTCCTGTGCTCTTTCAAGATCTCAAAGCTTGTCTTCCCAGTGGAAGAAAACTGGGAAGGAAGGCAAAAAAAAATCTCTTTTCACAAACACGGGGCACTGTGCTACTGGGTATAAAGGTATACACTCAACAAACAGGTTGTACTGCTACAGCCTATTTGCACCAACTTAGACTTCACAGCACGTCCACATAAAACCCAAAACAACACTAAAAGGTAAAGGAGCAGAAGCAAAGAGATAATGACAAGTGCCTCTGTGCTGCAGACCTAAACCATCTCGCCCCGTGCGGCCTGGGAAGTGCAAGTTGAAAAGAGACAACAGCACAGCTGTGGATGCACACAGAATGCTGACTGACCCACCCTTGCTCTGTATAGGAAATGGATGCAATTCCCAATTCATCAGTGAACTTCTACCAGCGACTCACACCACGCAAACACCAACCACAGAGCACCACATGCATTCTGCAACCTGAAAACAAGCAGCAACGCATCACCAGGGAAGATGAAAAGCCACGAAGGGCCGCATGAGAGGCTTAACCTAATTCCTGCTAGGCTGTAAGCGAGAGCTGTGGGTAACGCTGCACAAACCAGAGCACAGATTTGTGTCTCAAAGTGGTGATGGATTCAAAAGCCATTGAGATACGCTGGCAGGAAAGACAGCAAAACCCTCTGGCTCACTCAGATTGCCATCAGCTTCGGCACAGATTCAAGTTCAAAAGAAGAGCAGCAGATGGAGGTCAGTCCCAGGGCTGAACACATCCTGAACACGAGAACAGGGACATTACAGAGCGGGTTTTTCCAGCTTGACAGTGGGTCTGCAGCAGCTCTGCTTGTAGATGGTTCTAGGCAGATGGAGGTGTCAAACCTGGGAACTCCTGGAGCTGTTTTGACCCATATTGGGGCTCTTTTTTTAAGGGAAAACAAACAAGACCCCGCAGTTCTGTTATTTCCCACGACTTCCCCTGAAAATCCAGGGAGCTCTGATATTTCAGACCCTAAGCTGGCGGGGCTGGACGTATGGCAGCTGTGCTGAGGGATTCTGTACAGCTCTCCAAGCAAAGCTGGGTGCTGGGAATCACGAGGCAAAACCCCAGAGCAAGGAACCTGCAAGGTGATGGAAGCTCACTTCTTCTCTTCTCCCTGCTCACCTCTCCCCTTGGGCACCAGTCAGAGGTTTCCATCCTGAAGGACCAGGCAAGGCAGTAACCAGGCAGTGAACGGGCACAGGAGCTTTGATTTGGAGGAGATACTTAGGAAGAAGAAAGGCCTTTCAGACATGGATAGTCACATCCTACTGTATGGTTTGTCCAGAACCACTCTAAAGGAAACGGGGTGCACTGCATTCAAGAGCTGCAAAGCACGAGCTGCCAGGAACTGGCGTGGCAGCAGCTGCTTCAGTCCCATTGCAGCTTCCAAAATAGAAATCAAAATAGGACAAACACCCAATCAGCAGGATTCTGCTGGAGGCCTCTGAGAGGCTGGAGGATGAAAGGCAACGTGGCAAGGAGGAGAAAATGGAAATTCAGAAAAGGAATGCTAACAAAAAAAAAAAAAAAAAAAAGGTTTTGAAGAAGCAAACAAAAAGGCAAACAAAGGAGCAGAGAGGCTCAAGAAAAAGCTGAGGCTGGCAGGTAAAGGCACTGGGCATTCACACCCCAGAGGAGCTGCCCTGGAGTGTCCCAGGAGCCTGGGTGGCTGCAGGCCCTCTGCCACGCACATATGGTGAGTGCATGTGGGAGCAGCCCATGGCAGGCAGCCCACCAGCTGCCTCAGAACAATGCCTCTCTTCAGCACTGGGAGCACTTGGAGCAGTTGAAGCTTTGCATCCTCCACAAGGCATCCCATTCGATTTGCACGGCGGTCGTGCTGCACACAGTCAGGGGATTTGCTTCCAAATGCAAACACAATGAAGTCCCAGCTTGCAGCAGAGGAGCTAAGCCTTGTTTTAAAGCTTTGCTCTTAAGGCGAGACCGAATGAAAGGGAAAAGCCGGCACAACCAAAGTGCGGCGCTTCTGCTGGGAACATGGGACAGATTTGGGTGCACACAGGCTCAGTGCATCCGTTTCCATTTCACTGCCCCACCCCTGCTGCTCTGCATGATGCAGATCTGCCTTCTCCAAACCTCCCGGCTTTAACCCTGCGCTGCCCCCAGCGATACCTGCCAGGGTTACAACCCACCACTCAGGCACCTCTTTGCTTTTCTGTAAGGCGCATAAAACCAAACACTGCACGTCCTGTGCACCTACAGCTGCGACTGAGTGTTTCCCAAGTAGCCCGTTTTAGATTGAAAACAGACAAGATACCTTCAAGAGCATGCAGCAAGGAAATGATAAAGGCAGAAACAGCGGGTTTCCTTCCCTTAAGTCTCGCAAGCATAAGCTCCTATTGAGAGATACATTTTAGGCTTTAATACTGTTAAATATTCTAAACTGAGATTTTAACAAACATATACACCAGCAGGAATTACATGTTTTTTTATATCTGATTTTTGAAAGCTTTATCTACATGAGTATAAAAACACTTCAAAACATGAGACAGCAAACAGTCGTCAGCCTCCAAACATGCAAACAAAGCTCTAAATGAGGACAAAAACGAAATGAATCTTGCTGGTGCTCACAGCCACCTTCCCTTCAGCTCCACCTGGATGGGAAAACATTGCCATTTCACAGCACCTCCCAGAAGGAAGTAATGCTTTTCTGCTCTAGCAGGTTGAAAGCTCACACAGCATCAAGCATTTTTCACATACGGTAACAACAAACAGATTTAAACATGCACACACACACAGAAAATTAACAGTCAAAACTTATTAAAGAAAAAAAAAAAAAAGCAGGAAAGGAAAGAATCAGCAATGTGGTAAACAAAATGTAACCACCAGCAAGGCACCGACTGCCAAACATCTCTATCACAACCAGAAGTACATAAAGGGAAGAGGAGAGAAAGAAGGAAGAAAACTTCAACAGAACAGAACAAATTCTGCAAGGCTGCAGCTTGGCAGCCTGTTGGGAAGCAGCAGGGAGGGGCTGGGCTGTTTGGTAGTGAAGCTGGACAAGAGCACCCACCAAATACACGACCCCAGCCATGAAAACAGCACAGGGCCACGCAGGCGACCACAGGAACCAAAAGCTCTACTTTACTTCTGGAATTCAGGTGTGCAGAAGGAATACTGTGCCCTCAGCCACACTGCATTATTTTGCCTTTCACAACGCTCTATCCAACTACTGTTGGGAAAGCGTAAGAGAGGATAATAAACAAGATGGTATCTCAGGTCACGTCGAGTGCTGTACCAGGACAGCATGCAAAGAAGATTCATGGCATGCCAGCCTGGAGCATTAAGTAACTTCCTTTTAGAGGTTCTTTAGTTAGTATCAGTTTTCTCTTAGCAATTCATTCGTGTGTGGAGCTTCCCAGTAACAAAGTATCAGAAGTACTTCAAAGGCTGAGGGGACTCACACAGGAGAGCAGAAAGGAGCAGAGACCAGTCCTGCTGTGGCTGGTTTTTGGGTCAGCACTTTGTGGTGACAACAGAGAAAAGTAGTGTGTCTAGGACACCACGTCAGCAGGTCAAGGGCTGGCTGTCATCATCAAATAGGTTAGAGCTCATGCCCTGCAGGATACTCCAGGACCAAGCACAGGGTTTTGTCTGAAAACATGTACTCAGAAATACTGTTTGGTACAGACTGAAGCCACCAAGGCGAAGTGAGAACCAGCTCCACATCCCTGAAGAGCAAACAGCCTCCATATAGCATGAAGCAGGCAGCCAGTTCTTATGTCCAGTCCTTACAGCTCAACAACATCCTCCACCCAACAAATAGTGGGTTTTCCCCTACCCTGTTGCCTTTTGTTATGTAAAAAGCTGGAAAATGACAGACCAAAACCAACTAAACAAAAAGCAAACTGCCTATCTCTCAAAGGAAAGCCACTTTTGGTCAACTCATGGAAGCAAGCTGTTTGTGCTGGCAGAAACACCCTGAGAGGGCCCCATCCTTCCAGCATCGGGCACCAGCAGCTCCCGAGTTCGGCAGAGGCTCCCGGCTCCCTCTGGCGGGGCGAGAGCAGCAGTGGCTCCCCTGGCCCCGCTGTCTGCTAGCCACAGCTCATCCAACTTTTACACAAACAAGCCGAGGTCATTCCTCAGTAAGATGTATTTAAATGCATCCATCAGCTGCACACACGTTCACCTTTTTGAGTCGTTTTGGGTTTTGTGTTAAGATGCCGGTAAGTCGTGCTCGCTGCCGTGGAGCTGTGCCGTGCCCACCGCCCCGTGCTGCACAACCTCTCCCTGCCCCCAGCCGCCCCTCCCCAACACAGCTCCACTCCGTTCCCTCAGCGCACAGCTCGGCGCTGCCCAACCGCTCCCCGTGAGGAGTTGCAGCCGCCACGAGGGCTCCGCTCAGCTCCCGTGCTCTGGGCCGAATAAACCACAGCCCTCAGCACTGCTCACACACACGCCGTGTCCACAAACTCTTCCCCACCTCCGCATCTCTGAACCCTCTATCGCAGCCGCTATTCGGAGATCAGCCCCTCTCGGCCCCAGGCAGCCTACAGGCACTGAGGCCGCCCCGCCTCCCGCAAGACCCCCAGCCCCACAGCCAGCCCTCTCCCGAGCCCTGCGCCCCACACAGCTCGCAGCACCACGGCCCGGCCTCGCTACTCACGCTTGTACTCAGCCATCAGCCGCTTGAGCGCTGTGCCCGCCATAGCGCGGCCCGCAGCGCCCCGGCCCCGCGCCGCTTCCGGGCGGGCTGGCGGGGAGGAAGAGGATAGGGGGCGCGCTAGCGCTCCGCCTCTATGGTGCGAGCCGAGTCCTCCCAGCGCCGGCCGCGAGCCGCGCAGGCGCAGTATCACCACCGACTTGTGGGCGGGGCCGAGAGCCGCGGGAAGCGCGAGGCACAAAGCGCGCCCCGCCTGCTCCGCTCACCCCAACGCCTGATTGATGACACTTCTCGTTTCTGCGTTAAAAAAGTATATTTCAGACGACTTTATCAAATCATGACAAAGCACATGTAAATCTGCAATATTTCAAACTCTGACTCCATACGAAGCATTGCATCTGCACGTACAGACTTCGTGTCGTAGGTTTCCCAGTAACTGTTTGCAACGCACACTTAAATCAGCATCTTTTTCCTCCTCTTCGGCATGTTTTAAAACAAAACAACAAAACTTGTAAGCTTGTGATCGGCATGAAGATATACTGAATTATTTACAAGGTTAGGATGGAACAGAAGGGCAGGACCGACAGCCAGGAATGCACTCCATGTCCTCAAACACGGACGGATATTTAGGCCACAGGTTTAAAGGAAAAAAAGGAAACAGCAGACAGACAACGTATATTACTGAATCAGAACTTAAATCAAATGGGCCCAATTTAAGATATAGATTAATCCCTGCAGATACTGTTTTGACTTGCACACGCAGTACGTCAAAGACAACAAGCAATTTTGGTAAATGTCCTCTAAGGTTTCGAAGAATCCCATGTGATTGGCATGTTCATTTGTTTACTATTTAATAGCAAATCCAAGGACAGATGAGAGCGAGGTGCAATGAGCCTGGAAGGCCTCCGCTCCAAAGGATGGCATGTCTTAGCACAGCCCACCCGTCTGCTGCTGGAATACATCAATAGTGTCTTCATCTTCCATCTCCAGCTGTGAGGTTGATACAGAGAACACAAGTTCACAACCACAAAGTTACAGAGTTACACAGGTTTCAAGATCTCTATTTCAAACCAGATTTAGAAGCTCACCCTCTAAAAGCAACAACCTGTCACGTGTTTCTTCTGCTCCTCACCTCAGGCCTCATCAATGCAAGAAAACCCCCAAATTCTCAGCACTGATAGAGCTGGCAGCAGCTACAGCACTCAGCTTCACTCCCAGCTTTAAGCAGAAGTGGGACAGAGCTCAAGAGCTCTGCACTTCCTCCAGGTCCTGTCCTGCCCACAGCAGCACACAGGTGCCAGCATGTTTGGCACCACTGCTCATACAGATCTCCCACCCCAGCCAGGACAAAACAGGGAAGAAACTGAAGAAGCATTTTATAGCCATTTGCAGTAAAATCATCTTTCATACCTGCGCAGGTGTGTCTGCTTCATTAATAGGTTGTCCGTCAAATCTGAATCTGATCTGCCTCATAGACAAACCCTGCAAATTTATAGAGTAATACATGTGAGAAACCATCCTCTTAGTTTTGAATAAAATAAAACAAAAAGCATTCACTGATTCGCTGTCAGAACGGATAATAACAAAATTAAGATTTAAAGAACATAAACAAATGGGAAACTTCATGCCTCTGTTGCGGTGCAAATGGAGAGAGCAGAGTTGCTCAATGGATGCTGTGCTGCTGCTGTGGCAGCAAGGGCTCTGCAAGGAGCAACGGTGCTGGGCTGCACCTGGCTCTGACCCACAGCACCGTGCTGCTCTGCACGGCGTGCATGCGTGCGCGAGGGCCAGCCGTTCCTCATAAGGAGAAATGAGAGGCTTTAAATTCATTCAGCAGCCAACACTCCCAACACATGCGTAGAAGCCCCCTGCTCACAGTGCCTGCTCACACCTCACACAACTCCTGCTGGGCACCCGCTCCCAGTCCCGACCTTCCGATGAAGACAAGGACCCACGCCGTGTTTGAGGCACGGGATGGGGCCGAGCCTTCGGTGTGGGGAAGCAGAGAAAGGGCCCCACGTGCACCAGCAAGGCAGAGAGATGCCGGCGGCCCGAGCTTCCCTCCAGGAATGTGGCGCACGGCAGGGATGCAGTCGGCCCCAGCGCCCGCGGGGCGATGCGCGCACCTGCCGCTCGCAGTAGGCCTTCATCAGCTTGCTGAGAGGCGTGTGCCGCTTGATCTTGAACTGCACGACGGAGCCATCCTGCCCGGCCACCTTCAGGTTGATGTGGTCGTTCTCTGTCTTCACTCCTTCCTAGGAAAAACCGGACGGGCGGAGATCAGCGCACGGCGAGGCCCGACCCTCCCCCCCTGCTCCGCCTGCGACCCGCCCCGCGCCCGCCGAGCCCCCGCCGCGCCGCGCCGAGCTTACCTTGGGCTTCTCCTCCGACATGGCGGCAGGACGGGCCCAGAGGGTCCGGTAGGGGCGCGGAGGGCCCGGCCCGCGCGCTGCCTCCCGCCTGGCTCCCGCAGCCGCCGCCAACCGCCCGCAAGAGAGCGCGCTCAGCCGCGCCCCCGCCGCCCCGCGCCAGCAACGCCGCGCCCCGATTGGCCGCCCGGCCGGTCACGTGAAAGGAAGGTGGGGGGGGGATGAGCGATCGCGCGCAGCTCGGCGCCTCTAGAAAGTGCGTCACGGAGTGGCGGAAGCGCCGCGAGCGAGGGGCGGAGCTCCGAGGGAGGGAGGGGCGAAGCACGGCGGCGCGGGCCCGGTCTTATGGCGCCCCCTCGCGGGCGTACCGCAAATATCACCCCGCCCTCAGGACCCGTGCCTGGGGCTGCAGAGTCCGCGCTTTCTGCGAGCGCCACGTGTGCCGTCAGCCCCACTCGGCTTTGTCACAAAACGGCATCAGTGGATGCTACCGCATACACGCTGGGCTCTTCTGTACTGCAAATCCACTCTAGCCCCGTGTAAGTCCCCATCCTGGGTTCCTCACAGGACATAAACACACAGCCCTGTGCCCAACTCTCCCTGCTCAAAAGAAACTCAATCCTACCCCTGCCCATTGCCATGATGGCAACCCAGGCCCAGCTGAGAGCCACACTTGTGTGGAAGCAGAATGAAGCATTCACACAGGGATAGTAATCAAATCCATTTAATACATCTTTACCATACTGCATATGCATCAGAACCCTACCATATTGCTATCAGTAACAGGCACTGAGCCCAGGAGATGATCAAGAAAGGCACAGAGGTAGAGGGGCTGTGAAGGGACCCTGGATTAGTTGCAAGTGAAATGTGCATGTAGGCCTGCCCCCAGAGGCCCAAGGCAGCTAGAAACCAGTGCTGTGAGGGGGTGCTGGTATGTGGGCACATGCATGCAGCTGGAGACAGCCAGGCTGCCCTCTGAGTCACTTCCACGCAGAGGGAGACGACAGCCTCATGCCACACATACCCAGCTTTGCATGAGGCAGGAGAAGGAAGACACGCTGGGCCACTCAGGACCTCAGCCAGGCACCGTGTTGCATTGTGCTGGGCTGCCACCCCCAGCTGGGTTAAGGAGGAGTGTGAAGCCCAGTGCTACTGCCACCAAGTTGTCAGGCACAGAATGAAGTTTCAGCCTGGCCCAGCACTGCAGCTGATGGCTGGCTGCCTCAGCACAGCCTCTGCAGCAAAAGCCCAGGGCAAGCTGAGAACTGGAGTGGGGAATGGGGGAGTCACTGAGCAGGGCTCGTGGCAGCACGTTGCACCATAGGGGTCTTCTGGAAAGTGACCCAGAGTGAGGTGGGTCTATAAGGAGGATGCATTTTCCAGGTGTGACAGATCCAGAGAGGCTAGTTCTCAAATTTTGCATAAGGGTTCTCCTCCTTGAACAGGCCTGGAAGAAAAGAGAGTCACTGAGACCCCCAGGAGTAGCACTCACTGCTCTGGGTGACAATTCTTTGCCAACCATCCTCTGCTCACTCTCCTGTTCTAGAAACACATACCAGCGTCTTCCTGGAAGACTGTGCCCACACCACCCCCATCACCTATCCCTCATGGGATACACACCAAGCACTGTGTTCAATCCTGAGCCCCTCACTACAAGGAGGAAGTGTGTCTGGAGGTCAGCAGAGCTGTGAGGGGCCTGGGGCACAAAATGTGATGGGGAACAGCAGAGGGAACTGGGATGGGTCAGAGAAGAGGAGGCTCAGAGGAGACCTCATTGCTCTGCAACTCACTGAGAGGAGATGGTGGTGAAGTGGGGAAATCACCTCTGTTCCCAGATTAACAGCAGTGGGATGAGAGGTAATGGCCTTGAGATGCACCTCAGGTTGGATATTAGGAAAACATCATCCCCAGAAGTAGTGATGAGGCATTGGGAAGGGATGAGCTGCACAGGGAGGTGGAGTCACCATCCCTGGAGTTGTTCAAGAAGAGGATAGATGTCACACTAAGGGACACAGTCTAGAGTAGTCAGAGACATGGGTTGATGGTTGGAGTAGATGTCAGTGCTCCTTCCAACTTTAAATGATTCCACAATTCTAAAGCTTAGTGCTAGCTGCTAGTGCAAGCCACTGTACCGTATTTTCTTCGGATTTCATCATGCCGTGACTTCATCTCTGCTCTCCTGCAAGAAACAAACAGGAAAGAAACCACAAGTCAGTGACCAGCAGAACAGAGCCAAGGAGGAGGAGCTCCAGCTCCCCACTCGCTCTCAGGCTGGGAAGCTCCATGCCAGCAGCTCTGCTCAGAGCCTTCAGGCTGCTGGTCTCCCTGCAGCCCCCCTCCCACAGGGCAGGAACTTCAGGGTGCATACACACCACCATCACAATGCTGCACCCACAGATCCCAGCAGGGACTCTGTTTGCAGCACAGACCCTCATGCAGAGGCTGCAGCACCATGCAATTGGCACAGCACTGGGTCAGCAGGCACAGGGCAATGAAACCTCACCTCTCCTCCTGGCGCACTCGCCTGCGCTCCCGCTCCCGGGCGGCTCGCTCATCCTCCTTGTCTGGCCTGCAGCAAAAAAGAGCCCATCAGCCCACACTGACCCACCTCCAGCAGCCCACAGCTGCACCTTAGGGACTCTTTGAGAGAACTGGGCACAGCCCGCTCCAATACTTGCTTTTTGCTCTTTTTCTTACAACAGCAGCAGCAGCAAACAACCAGCATGATGAGGAT